GTGTAGTCCCTGCCACAGATGGCACGGGCCCCGGGACAACCGACTTATTTTATTTTTTGAAGAAGGGCGATGACCTTGAGGTATTATCATCGGACTAACCAGCCCAGGTAAATTCAATCTTGTGTCTAATCTGACACCGGGTGGCCTTTTCAGCCCAGTGTGTATTTATTGCCTTCTGGGAACCCCCAATGGGGGACACCAGCCAGGGGACAGCCGGTAGCAGAGGGACCGAGCATCGTCAGAGTGACCCGTCGCTGTGCCTCCCGGATTACCCCTCCCCCTATGAATATCAGGAGAGACTGCTTTTTAATGCCAATTGGGGGGACCAACGGGCTATCTCTAGGTGSCAGGCGCCAATCATGCCCAGGAAGGCACATGAGGCCAATGGGGATTGAACCCACAACCTCCTGAATGCCACTTGCATGCCTTACCAACTGAGCTAGGCTGCTGGGTGGACAACCAACTTTGGAGCACCCCATGACTGTGGGGAAAAAAAAAAAAAAAGGCTAAAAAATGCCCCGCTCCCGGGGGAGGGGGCGGGGAGGGAACGGGCGAAAACAAAACTGACGCAAACTCTTTGAAAAAAGTTCAAAAAACCTTTCGCGAAGTGGGAAAGAAAAAACTTACACGCACTTCTGCAAGAGTATGTTTGCGACATGCGGCGGCACACACATAAAAAAAAAGTGGGACTGCTGTGCCCCGACTGTACCGGCCCCCCGTGGTTTCTCTCAGGCCCGGGGGCTGGTCGTCAGCAGAGGCCCACTGCTCGCTTTGAAGTCGCTGCGACAGGGTCACGGATTGTGAGCTTTGGCTGCACCTCTGCTGCTTTTCTTGTCGCTGTCTGGGCTTTCCTGGGCTACTCTCCCCTCCTCTTCGATGGGACATTGGTTACTAGCATCTTCTCTTCGCTCCCCTTGTCCCGTCATCTCCCTGTGTTTCCCTCCAACCTGCTCTCTTCCATCGCTGACTGGCTGCTACTTGCAGCAAGCATGTCCTGTCTGGCCTTGAACCCATTACCATTTTCTGCTCTTCGCTCCCCTTCTCCCGTCATCTCCCTCCTCTCGTCCGACCTCGTCTCTTCCTTCGCCGACCGGCTACTATGTGCAAGGCATGTCCTGTCTGTCCTCTATCCTGCCGCCATTCCGATCTTCGCTCCCTGTCTCCCGTGATCTCCCTCCTTCCGTCCAACCTGCTCTCTTGCATCGCCGATTGGCCACTACTTGCAACACATGTCCTGCCTGTCTGCCGACTGGCTACTAGCAAGTGTGTCCTCTCTGTCCTCGGTCTTGTCGTTGTTCTTGCATGCGCTCAATGCACACTCCCAACCCTTCCATAATGTGTATAGCTGGCTTAGCTCGGTTGGTACACCTACGAGCTGTTGAAATGCAGACCTGAGTTCGAATTCCAATGGAATCTGATGGGTGAAAATAACTCTTACCTGGGGCTGGTCATTTCAAAGATGATATCTCAAGGCCATTGCCTTTTCGGTTAAAAAAAAAAAGGTACATAACTGCGGGTTCTTCATGCCCACGTCTGACCCCAGGGTGTTCTGGCGTGAGCGTAAAGCTTAGGGTGGACTTATGCATGGACTTTCCGGGACGTCCGCGGCATCGTCACTTGTCCGGGGATCAGCAACCTGTTTCTTTGTCTGCCCCGATTCTCTCTGTGCCTCCTCCACAGGTTGTTGAGGTTCCTTTGTTTCGAACGGCAATATCCGCTCCTATGCCTCCTGCAGACAGTCCAGCTGCCTGCAGGCAGCCACCAATCCCTACTCAGGATGCAGCCGCTGCCCAGAGTACACTCCCGACTCCAGGTACAGTCCCTATTCAGGATGCAGCCCTAAACGTTGAGGGATTGGAACATGATCTGCCCGGATTGCAATCGACCCCACAAGGCGTAGGCCACATGGGGGATCTGGAAATGGCTCACCAGCATTGTTCAGATCAAACCACAATTTTGTGCTCCGCCACACGCAGACCACGTGGGTGATCTGCAAATGACTGGCCAGCAAACAACCCAACACAGTTTGGGCTTGCAACACCATCTGGGGGATCTGCAAATTGTTGGCCAGCATCCAACAAACCAGCCTGAGAACCTCACCGATCTCTGTGGTCTGACATTAACTAATATCTGTCTTCACATTCTGCATCGCCCGTGTTATACACCATCAGACTTCCTTGCAATCGCCGTTCAGCTTGATTCTGATCTTCCCCAACAGCAGCCAGAGGATTGTAGTTATACCAGCGAAGGAGGCTTTACCCTTGCTGTCCTACGAGTAGCAATGAGGGACCGTCAACTTGAACTACGCAATGCTCGAGCAGGCGAGTGGTTTTATCCTCCATCCCACATCTCTGCCTGCATTGTGCATGAACCTGGCCATAATATTGGCCATTGTACATGCCTCTGACCACTGGGAACTGTGGGACAACGGCACCATGGTCCTTGCCATAGCTGATGTCGCTGATTTCTTACAAAATGATGCTGTTTTCTTGCCACAACAAACCGTCCGCGATCCCTTTTATGTCGAAGATCATTCCTCTGGCCCCGTGCTGCAGAAGACAATGCACCAACACTCTGCGACCTTCTCCTTGGCACAACCACAAACGCTGTTACACTTGGCTGTAGCCGCCATCACAATCACCATCCATGTGTGCAGAGGACCGTCCCACCGTTCCTGACCGCAGGCACCCTCCACATCCGGACACTATATGTCCGTTTTGCGGCCATGGGCGCTATACTGAATTCATGCTCTTTTGTGGTGACCGTTCTTCTTTCATTTTGGCCTGCAATCGACATGCCATTTGTCGGGGGTGTATGGCGGGTGTGCTCAATGCCAGCCGTCGTGGCAATTGTTGCACTGAGAATGCTCAGCTAGGTCTTCCATGTGTTCATCCACATCATCATTACAATGTATGTCCTCTCTGTCGTCAAGGACAGACTCGTTCTCGAGCCTTTTCTTATCCTCTTGTGCCGTCATCTTCACTCCACACTCCATACTTTTCCTTACTTTCCCTTTATCGTTATTTGTTTGTCTGCTCTCCATCTCTCCTCCCTGTGTTTATCCCCTCCCCCTTCACTCTGCCTCTTTCTCACAGCGTACAAGTGGGCTGTTATGGCACACGGGGATGGGGGCAGCTTGCACTCAACTTCATCAACGTGGCGAACCTTGTACGTGAGAGGCACGGTGAAAGGGGAGTCAAAAGAAGAATGAGAAAAATGAATGGTTTCACTGTGCCCTTCATGAGGAGATTTTTTTTTTTTTTTTTGGCCGTTTGTTTTGCAAAAATTGCGCTCTTTTAGATCATAGTTATGTGACAATATATATGTTTTTTTTTTGTTTGTTTGTTTTCTGCGCTCTCCCAGAGGACCCCAAATTCCGGGCTCTTTTCTGTTTTTGAGATTTGGCGGTCAAGGGGGGGTGAAGGGGGGTATAAATTGGTTTTAAAGGGGCTAAAGGGGTTTGAAAGGGGGTGCCGTGTGATTCTGTTACATTCG